TTGCGGACGACTTGAAATCCTGGAGTTCCAATGCCAGTGCCCTCCAATTGGATGTAGACGCTGTCAAGCAGTGGTTGTTGGACTGGCACCTTCCTCAGAATGATGAAAAGTGCGTCCATGTGTCGTTTGGAGGAGACTCAGCGAATGCCTTTGTTATGCATGGTGAAAAAGGAACAGAAAACATCACGAGGATAGATGGCATAAGGCATTTGGGCATCTGGGTCTCTTCAAAATTATCCCTCTCACTGCTCCATGAGAAATCGCCTGAAAAGGCATTCGCCATTTTACGGATGATCCGACGTACCTTCTCCCGCGTTTCTCCCATTGACTTCCAAATACCCCATTTGGCCTACGTCAGCCCGCTCTTGGAATACGCCAACCCAGTTGTCTACTCAGGACGCACGAAAGACTCCACCTTCATTGAGCGTGTCCAGCGAGCTCCTACGAGAATAGTTGCTGGTCCCAAATCCGTGGAGCACGAAACGCGTCTGGGACGCTTGATTCTCTTTCCCCTGGAGTACCGTCGCCTCCGAGGGGACCTAATTCTTACTTATGCCCTGTTTGATAAAATCTTGGCAAACCGTTGACCCAGGAAACACACGGCGAGGACATAGTAGGAAAATTTTCAAGCTCAGGGCACGCACATTCATTAGACAAAACTTTTTTTCATTTCGGGTATTAGGTGCGTGGAATGACCTTCCTCCGACTGTTGTACACGCTCCTTCTCGAACCCAATTTAAAGCACTATTAGACATTTATTTATGCGAATCCTCGCGCTGGCGAGCATACTGCCCCGCGCTGAGAACATAAAGAGCAGTGCTACACCCTTTTTTCACTTGTACCTTTTAGGTGAACTGCAGCTACTGGACGACAAGTACAAAAGCGACCCGGGAATCTTGGGCAACTGCCTCGACCCTGTGTATCAACCGGTGAATCCGTGACTGTTTGGTGGTATGACTGCCGCAACAATAGAAGCCTTTTTCCATACAGGCCGTGAATGGCTACTTCATTATGAGTATTTACTGGCAGAGAAGGCTTAATTATTGGCAATAATATTAAGGTTTATTCTTGACATGTGGGTGGCAAATCGTCTGGCTGATCATACGTTTACAGTCAGAATGCAGCATGACTGGGGGATTTGTTGGTAGTGGGGATTGCGGGAAAAGAGGACAATTTCATAAACAGGGAGAAATATATAGCAATGATAGGTTATTTCCCAACTTTTTGGGTAAAATGGGCATGAGGTTCGACTAGATCAAAGATAGTCAGGTGGCATGAACTAAAACTGAAAACCTTTGCTGGCCGTGAGTGACCTTGGGCGGTTAGGTAAATGGCGAGAGATTACTTTTAAATCCAATAAGGGGAAAAGCACGTGGAGAAACCAGACCGCTCCACGAAATTTCTCACCATCTTTAGAACTGTGCGAGGCCGTCAGCAGCCATTAAAATACGAATTCTGCGTCCACAGTGGGCCTCGAATACGTTTGCAGAACTTCCAAAAGTGCTACGGTCACAGTTGGAGAATTTAAGGATTCTGATGTACCCATTAAATGCGAAATCTTTTTGTTTAAGATTTTCACCCGTAAACTACGGTTCCAGGGAAATTTGAAACGAGTTTCTAAGGCGCAGAATGGCTTCAGAAGAGGTTACAGGTACGCTTGTTTAGAAATTGGAGGCTTTCCGCTTTTCATCCTTCCCGGCATTGGAGGCGGCGTAAAATGAATACATGACGGAAAACTATGTGGTATTCTTGCGTTTGGCCACCAATCGAAGCAACAATGCTGTCTTATGTCACGAGTGGGTGTGTAACAGGCCAGCAAAGCCAACGGAAATTCGGGAAATCCGAAGAAACTAGCGAGTTGGACGTAGTTGTCATTAACAAAAAGTACACGAGGCACCGGGAATCCAGTGAGCTTTTGTCTAAGGGATCAAGAGTGCTATCTCACCGTCACCTCTTATTATCCTGAACACAGTCACAAGGTTCCTAAGTCGATTGGCTCTAGGTAAGTGGACGGCTAACCCATGGGGAGATAGGCGACTGCAGGGCCCTGCTGAGTTATGGAACACCGTTGTGTGTGGTGCGTCGTTTTGGAGCTGATGAATTCTAAATGTCCTTATCAATTCAGACACATACAGCCATCTCCTAGATTGTCGGGCATTTCTGTTGAGTCAATGACGCACTTTTGGGTTTTACTAAGACAGCGGATGTATTCAGTCGTGGAAGAAACTTTGGTAGTCCGGCAGCGGGCTTGTGCTGAATCCCTGGGAAGGTGACCAAAGCCACAAGTGCTCCTCCGTATGGCAACAGATAACACTGTTTTGACGCTTACCGGATTTAGTGCATAATGATAGAAGCTACACGATAAACCGTTTTAGGTAAGTCTTTTTAAAGCGACTAATATCTAGCATGTAGTTACAAGGTTTACACTCCCTATCACAGACGATGTGGATACCGGACGTGCGGTTATGCATGCACTTGTGGAAAGTGCAGGATCTTAGAATTATTTGGGCAAATCGTGGGCAAGCAATATCAGGTGAAAAATTCGTCAGGGGCAAGTTGGCTACACAAATGCGGCCGACCAGAGGCTTATGGACGTTATGTTGAGCCGTTTTCACATTCCCAAAGCTATCTAGAAGTACTTGTGTATTATTTACCACACGTTTATTTTGGTCTTAGGCACTTTGTACGAAGAGCCGACAACTGTTCCGCCATATGGTTCGCCTGAACAGCACCTTACAGTAAGCTTCCTGTTTATCAAAATACTGGTGCACAGATGTCGACAGGAGATGCGATTGCTGCGCCACCCTACCCTCTTTCATGTCTCAAAAACCTACTGGTTATGCGTCCTCCGCAAGTGGGCTGTACATGTATATTCCAGGACTGTCCGTTTGGGCGTCGAATACATCTAGCTAGGTGATTAGGCATCGTGAAACCCTACATGCATGTTATTCATGTGTGTCAGCTAGGTTCCTTCCGCTTTCCGCTATGATTAATGACATGGTCGTCTTCGCATGTTTTGCCGGCTTCACTGGAGAATTCTGCTGCAGTTTCCACAAAACTCTACCTACGGTCGTAGGTCATCATCTGCAAGCCCTTCGTTCAGACGAGCTATCCGAAAATGAATGTCGATCGCAATGACAATCCTCGAGTTTCAGAACGTGGAATTCGGTTTTCGTCCATTCAATCATGATATGAATACGGAAATTTAATTACGGGAGCTTCATTCTCGTATATCATGCGTTCAGGAGCACTCCTGGTATGAGTGGCAGGAGGAACTGCGCTGATTTTCTCCAGTCTGATGGTGGATGGCAAAACATCGTCTACCAAGACGAGTGTTGTTCTCCGTGCCTCCTTCGGGATGGCGCAAACCGCGAGGTGGACAGCACATGACTTGGCAAAAAGGCGTGAAAGAGATCACGAAGAGTTTGGGTGTTGTTGGTGTGGTGAGACTTCCAGGATGGGGTCCC